CATCCCATGAAGAGATTAAGCATTAAAAGAAGGCATAATTATAATAATTACCTCAGTAAGATCAGTTTCTCCCCTAATTTATGAAAAAGTAAAATTTACCCTTCTAGAAGTTTCTCCTATTTTTTCAGGTCATTTGAAGTGACATTATAAATAAGTCAATGCTACAAATTTTTGTTTGTTTCATGGTCAATATCCCCACTCTCCCACCCCAGACACAGACACACAAACAGAGACAGATCAATTTGATGGAAAATAAAGTCAGCATAAATTATTTTGGATAATGTAATTTTACCAGAAATTTGCTTAACTACATCACAGTTTTAAAGCTACATAAAAGATGTCTTAATTGCAAAGTGTGGAGAGCCCAGGTCATGTTTACAAATACATTTATAATAGTTATGAAAATAAAACAAACATGTCATAAAATTTACATAGCTTATTTATGATTAGTATAAAATTCTCCTCTTTGTCAGGCAGGGTCAGGGCCCACCAGATATCTCAAAATGTCTGAAGTGATTGTACCTTTAATTTCTGGAAGTCATTTCCAAAGATAAGCAAACTTATTTGCTACATATTTTAGTAAGATTAATACATATTTTAATTAGTTGACTATTTGGAGCATCCATAGGAGTGGTAAAAGTAAAAGTGCCCTGTATATTCATAACAGAGAAGGGAGGTGGGTATAGCTAAAGCAAATGAATGCCTTTTATGGTGTCAACCACATGACAGGCATTTTATACAAATTATCACAAATATTTACAACCGCTCTTGAAGCTAGGTACTGTTTTCTTATTTAACAAAAAAGAAAAACTAAGCTGTAAAATATTTAAATAACTTACCAGAGAGCACAACTAGTGAGAGGCAGAACAAAGATCAGAAACCAAATCTGCCTGATGAAGCCGGGGATCACCCCTTTACGCCTGAGAGAAGAGAGTCTAAGAAGCAGTCATCTCACGGATCACTGAAATGTAAACCATCAGGGACTGGCCTATGCAAAGAAACTCATTAAGCATGTGGACGAATACCTTATTTGAATGCAAGGATTTAACCATAATAGTCTTTGGAGCAAATGTGGGAGTCCTGTCTACACATATCCTTTTTGGTTTTGATAATAGATAACAAGAGGTTCTTAGAGTCTTGACCTTTTTCTGAATTTCTCTAAAACTTTCTGGAGAGCAGCCATAACTTCCTTATTCCTCAAGCTATAGATCAAGGGATTCAACATGGGTGCCACCACAGCGTAGAACAGAGCAACCATCTTCTCCTCTTCTACTGAGGAGGCAGACCGTGGCCCCAGGTAGGTGAAGATGGTAGCCCCAAAGCACATGCTAACCACAGTGAGGTGAGACACACAAGTCCCAAAGGCTTTGCTACGTCCCTGAGCGGAACGAATGCGTAGAATGGCAGCTACTATACGCACATAGGAGAATAGAACCAGAGAACAGGGAATCATGATCACCAGAAATCCTGAGATGGCCACCATGACTTTGTTGAAGGAGATGTCCACGCAGGCTAGTCGTAGCACTGCTAGGGTCTCACAGGCAAAGTGATTAATAACATTGTGACACAAGGGAAGCCGGATGGTGATGATTGTTTCCATCAGTGAATTCATGAATCCAGCTGCCAGGCAGCCAGCAGCCAGCCCCAGGCACAGCCCCTTGTGCATGAGAACTGTGTAGTGCAGCGGGCAGCACACTGCCATGTAGCGGTCGTAGGCCATGGCTCCCAGCAGGAAGAACTCAGACCCACCCAATGCCAGGGAAGTGTAGAGCTGGACCACACAGCTGGGGAATGGGATAGACTTTAGAGCTGAGAGCAAGTGGGCCAACATTTGTGGGGCAATACTGTTCGTATAGCAAAGATCCACAAAGGACAGAACACTAAGGAAGAAGTACATGGGGGTATGAAGCCTGCTGTCCAGTCTGATCAAAAGAAGCATGAGGGCATTTCCCACAATAGTCACCAAATACATGGCCAGAATCAGGACAAAGAGGGACACCTGAATGCCCCAGTCACTGGACAGCCCCAGCAGAATAAACTCACTCACCCACGTTTGGTTTTTATTTTCCTGGCCCATGAGCTACTGAGCACCAAACCAATTATGTAGAAATAACAAATCATGAAAACTCAGCATTGGAAGGCTGGTTTGTAGACTATATGGAGAGCTCATCCATCTGAACTTGAAGTGCCCCTAGAATATCTCAGCCAAATCGCTATCCAAACTGCATGAACAATGCATCCGCAGATGAGAACCACAGTAGTACCCAGATGTGCAGCTAGAAATAAAGGAGAAAAGAAGGTACATTCTTGTAATTCAATTTATCAGAAGATAATTTCTTCTCTCTAGCATCTGCTCTTAAATGAGGGAAGGAAATTAAATGAAGTATTTAGACTGAAAATCATATGCAATTGAATAGTTATTATAGGGGGAAAACCCTGCCTTACTGGTGAGGAAGTTTTTGGTCCACATGAAAGATATGTCTGGATCCTGAATGATTTTCAGTACCACTTATTTTTGTTTATTGGGTTTCTCCTCAAGATATCTCAGACACAACCCTACTCACCTCTCAGTGGAATGCATCCATGAGACCCTGAATGTTTTAAATTGACTTCTTGTACCTTTTATTACTAAGCAATTTTGAGTTTGTTTTCTGTGACTTGCCCTTTTACTTTTAGAATGTCAAGTGGAAGGCTTCCTCCTCACCTGTCTCGTACCAGTGGCTTAGCTAGGTGAGACCAACCCAAGATGGCCAACTTCAAGGATAAGCCTTTATATGAAGAGAAGGTATAGATAACTGCTAAAATTAATCTCTTATGCACTCCCAAGGCGAATTTAATGAAGTATTTATTGATGTCAGGTTATTAAGGATGTTTTCTCAGGCAAGTTAGAGTTCATTCCTTTCCTGTGGAAAATGAATCAGTCCTCACCAGTGAAGATAGGAGGATAGAAGATAAGGCTTTAATTG